TTCCCTTAGATATTTCTTTCTTCTTCTCATTCTTTCTGGAAAATCCATGCATTCAACATTTTACCTATGGAGTGGCGGAGGGGATTGGCTGTTGACTCTTTAAATTGTATTCAAACCCAAGTCTTTCTCCTAAGTATCATTATTATAGAAGCTTTGGCTTATCACCTCCCCTTAGTCAACTTCACCATCAGATTCCATATTAGATGTATATTTACGTCTCCTTGGCCAGAACTGGATCCTGAAGACAGCTGTGGATTATAGGAAGGTGTCTTTGGCTGAAAGACTGCCCGATAAAAGCATTTGGGGTTTTGTTAATTAGTAAATTGTATTTTACTGAATAACAAAACACCTTGTAACTTAAAACTTTACAACAATAACAGTCACTATGTCTTAATTTGGGGGGAGGTGTACAATTCTGAGACAAGTTGGGTGACGTGCATGATTTTATACTCATGTTTATGATCTCATCTGGGATGCCTGGGACTCCCTCTCTTTCAATATGGACTTCTTATCCTCGAAGAGGCTACGCTTTTTCCCACAGTAGGCAAGGAGCTACGACAAACAAGAGCAGACAAGCTTCAATGCACTAGTCATTAAACAAACAAACAAACAAAAAAATCAACAACAAAAACCCAACCTATTTATTTATTTACTTACTTATTTTCTTATTTCTTTGTTATTTGTGGTACTAGGGAGTGAACCCAGGACCTCTTGTATGCTAAGCATATGCTTTACCACTGAGCTACATCCCCAGCCCAAGTATTTATTTGTATCCCATTTGTTAATGCACTATTTACCAAAGTCAATCATAAGGCCAAGCCAAGATATAAGGATTAGAAAGATAGATCCTATTTCCTGGTGGGAGACTGGCAAAGTGACAACACTTATGAGTATGGGATATCCCCAAAGTCTCATGTTTTGAAGGCTTTGTCCCAATCTGATGGTTCTATTGGGAAGTGGTGGAAACTTTAAAAGGAGGGTCCTAGGTGAAAGGGGTGGATCACAGTGGGTATGACTTTGAAGGGTTTATTTTGTCCCTGGATCTATCGATGTATCTATCTATCTATCTATCAATCATCTATCTATCTTTCTCTCCATCTTTATCTGTATCTCTATCCCTCTATCTCTCTCTCCTTTCTGGTTGTCATGAGATGAGCAGCTTTGTTCCACCACACCCTTCCACCTCAAAATTCTGCCTCATCTGTAGGCCAGAAATAATAGAGCTAACAAAGCATGGATGAAAAATTCTGAAACCATGAGACAAAATAAGTCCTTCCTTCTTTACAGTGATTTTCTCAGGTATTTTGTCATAGTAATGAAGAGCTGACTAACAACAATAATAGGAATTTGTGGCCACTCCCTGCCCCAACTATTGTAATAAATAAATACAGGTGAATAGGTATTGAGTAGGCAGAACTCGTGAATATCTTATCTTTCAAATTCTAACCCATCAGTATCTTAAATAATAATACTTTTTCAGAAAAGTCTATGCACTCTAAGCAGCCCTTTAATTTTCTAGTTCATAATTTATCTTCATATCAGTGATTGTTAGATTTTCTTAGGTTTGGATCACTCTGAAAATCAGATGAAAATTTTGGTACCCTATAAACTAAATGTTTGTGTTTCCTTAAGTTCTTAGTTTGAGTACAATAAACTGGGGATTAGATTGGCCTAGTGTGACTTCATTTGCAAATGGGGTCTCTAGCAAAATAAGTTTAAATGAGATCATAAGAATAGGACCCTAGTCTGATAGGATTAGTGTTCTTAGGCAGTCATCTGCAAGTCAGAAGATAACCCTGACTAGAAATCAAATTAATTGAGCCTTGAGCTTAGACTTCTAGGCTCCAGAACTGTGATAAATACATTTCTATGCATAAGGCTATGGTATTATGTTATGGCAGCTTTAGGAGACTAGTACAGCTACCTTTTATCTGATTAAGAATTCTTAATGTTCATATTTGTTGTTAAAATTTCAAATAGGGTTTTAATCTCATGAGTGGATCATGACTGATACAGGAGAATATGGTAGCATGAAGGATAACTAGGGAATTATGTGTGAGTTCTCTACTATCTACAACTTCCTGAAGGCTGAAGTTTTCAAACTACTACATTTGGCTCATAGGAAGTTAATACCTCTCTATACATCCATTTGGTATTTTCTCTTCATTTTCAGGAACATTTGGGTAAGCCATATTACTCATGGGAAGAATTAGAATGTTGGCAGTTATCTTAGGTGGCAGAACTGTGCTCCTGTGTCAACTGGGCTAAGTCCCATTTACATTTGGTTGCCTTCATGGTGGCTGGGTGCATCCCTGTGGAGTTGGTCATTCATCATGGTCCTGGCAAGGATTGACCCATATAGTTGTGATGCAGATGGAGAGTACTCCATCAGCCTGGTTGCAAAATCAACACAGGGAGGAAGAGACTCTCAGATGCTCCACTAAAGGATATTTACATATGGAAGAAAAAGAAACCCTGGTTGTTACTCTGAAACATTTGGGTTTGTTTGCTAATGTGGAATAAGCTAGCCAATTTTAACTGAAACAGAAAGTGGGGTTCTACTTTGCAAGATACTAAAATCTTCCTAAGTACATGGCAATAGCAGTTACAGGGCTGGACATACATAGTTGGAGAGAAAACTGAATTCAAAAACTGGAATCCATGAAGTGTGTCAGTGGGGCATTTGGTAACTGTTGACTATATTAGTCTTTTATTTTGTTTTTGTTTTTGTTTTTTCCCTGCAGTGCTGGGGATAGAACCCAGGGTCTCATTCATGCTAGCAAGCACTCTATCACTGAGCCACATCTCCAGTCTTGGCTTCATTAATTTGAAAGTCAGATTATATACCTAGTTAAATTGAGCTCCAGAAAACATTCTCTGAAAATACATGTTAGCAGAAATGTTTGTTGCCATTAGCTATGTTTGGCAAGAGTACAATAGAAAAGATTAAAACATGATTTTGCCCATGTATAAGCAGAATCAAAGAGGAATAAAATTAGAGTTGGAAGATTCAAACATTTCTTAACTCTAGCAAGTAGAAGATACACGTAGGTCACCCAGCATAGGCAGGTGAAGGAGACACCTTCCTGGTGGGTAAGTGGAATGCAGATAGTTAGTGGCACAAGCTTTGCAAAATGACCACTAAAGGTATCAGTACAGATGACCTGGGAAAAAAGTCCTCACAAAGAGAATTTCTATAAAAGATATGATAATGATGCAGGTATTTGAAAAAAAAATATGGGGGTACCAATGCCTGCAAGGAAAGCTAAGTTCATTAATAACTGTTGTGTTTTATTCATCCTGCAAAAGAATAATGAGAGAGTGAGAGCTGTTGACCAGCAGAAAATAGAGTCGTGTACTGCATGATGACATTCAGGAAAAGGACAGGGAATATATACTATGTGGTCCGATAAGGTAATGGGGCTGAAAATTTCCATCACGAGTGACATCCTGGACAACACAACATCATAATGCAAGACATTATGCATTTGTGGTGATTCTGGTGTAAATGAACCTACTGTGCTGACAGACATAGAAAAGAACAGTACAATTATTTACAGTACATAATACTAGATAATGATAATAAATGACTATGCTACTAGTTTCTGTATTTACATACTATACCTTTTATCCTGATCTTAGAGTGTATTCCTTCTAGTTACACAAAAAGAGTTTTCTGGAAGACAGAATGCCTTGGCACCTTGGCAGCAGCCTCATACATCTCCTGTTTGCTTGTTTTTGATTATATCGAGGGTCACATTGCCTGATCCACCTAGACCGTCTAGTTGTGTGCAAAAACACTCTGTAGCGTTTGAATTACGACAAAATTCGCTAAAGACACATTTCTCAGAACGCATCCCCATTGTTAGTGGCATACACAACTCTAAGTTTGGAAGCCTGAGATTTTTTTCTTTTACAATCAGACCCTTATTACCTGTAGAGGCAGGGCACACAGTGAAGGATAAGCTGAAGACCTAAGTGTCAGAATACAGTATTGCAGAGATATTTCAATGATTAACCATGGCAGGTTGGTTACAACAAAGTCAGGGCACTGGTTGAGAAAACTTTGGACTTGAGTCATAGCACACAGTTAAGCAGACAGATTACCTAATGATTGTTGTCCCATGACTCCCCTGGACCTTCTACTGTTACAGAAGTTGCTCACTCTGCTCTAATAAGAGCTAGCATTTCCTTTATGCTGCAGAAACCTCTCCCATTCAGGGTAGCAAGCACCTCTCTTCCTGCTTAGGAGTTGCTCATCCTCTCTGGTCTGTATGCCAGGTTAATAACTAGAGGTGTCTCCCAGCATAACACAAAGTGCCACTAACTAAAAATGCGGGAGCAGGTCCATAACTGGATCTCCTGTCATATTTCATACTGCACAACTGGAGGCAGCCAGCTTCACTAAACTATAGATAATTGAAATACCACGTTGGAGGAAATACATGGAAGGATGGGATGCCATCCTTCAGAATATGTGTATTTATCAGACCAAAGACTTTTACATGGTGCTGTGTCCAAAAGAAGAAAGATATCTGGGTCCAACAGTCAAGAGGTAAAAGCAGAAATAACTTCTCTACCCATCGTTCCCAATGATACACTGGGAAATACTGCCTTCCCTTTAACATGGTGATGACACTATTCCCACAAACTCTGGGATTCCTGTCTTCACAAACTCTGCAGGGTTGAAAGTCTTGGTCCTTGAAGGGATGTACTTTTGAGGGAAACATAGCAAGTTACAGCTGCTACCAGGGCACTGTGAATTTCATGTGTCCAGGGACCAGCTGACCAGGAGAAGAATAACCCATAAGGAGTGATTCCTGGTCAGCAGGAGGAGGTAGAGGGTGTGTATACAAGTACCTGCCAGGAGATACTGAAGATGGGAGGAGTTAGAGTACTTGGAGGAGAAGGAGGAAAATAAGTACCAATGCTGTCCCCAAGATCAACTGCAATGCAAGGGTTTGTCGTTCTTCTCACTACTCTTCATTTTCTAGGTTCCTCTTAAAAAGAAGGATCTGCAAGAATAGAAGCTCCTCCCTGAACCAGTGTGAGAAGTGCATCTATCCGCATGACAATGCGTGTTGTGTTGGCCATAAGAATGTGCCTCACAGAGGTCCACCTGCAGGGAGCTTAATTGACCAGGCTGCTTCACTGAGGTATCTATCTGTCACTGTTTGTTTCAGGAGCACACTTCCCACTGGCTCTCAAGGTTGTTGACTGAGTGTACATGAGTGCTAAAGTGGAGCCATTTCTCCTAAGGCAGGCTCATTTGAGATAGGAGATTACTCTAATGGCTGACATGAGCTCCAGAAACCCCTGGCAACCTGGTTTGAACCTTCCTTTGGCTGCCTGGCCTTTAAGGATGCTTCTAACCAGCCTTCCTTTCCTCTGTTTACTCAAAATGAGACTCACGTCATACTCGGATGTTTCTCCCAGTCTTCTCTGGCTCCTTTTCCATATTCTCTTGCGGGTATTTCACCTAATATGATTACTGCATGTTCACCTCAATCATGGCACTTGCTTCTTGGAGGACCTGAATGAACACACTATTGGGGGGGTAGAAGTCCCTTGCAGAATTTGCTCAGCAGGATTTCACACTTGCTATAGACCAAGGACTACTATGGGAGCCTTATTCCTTTTTCAAGATTGAAGCATTTCTTATGGATGAGCATCCTTTCCCATCATTTGTTATTAGGATGAGAGTAACTGGTCCTTCTTTCCTGGTTATCTGGATGAGAAAGAGATACACCCAGGCCTGCTATAATGTCTCCCACAGCTCACCCCCAACTTTATAAGATACTTCATCCAAACTATGTGGCCTTTGAACTCAGTGCCACATTGGATGGGACTTTTGTTTTATTTTTCTTGCATAGTGGGTGTTTTATCTGCAGAAAGGAGAACAAAACAAATATTTGGTTATCAGATTTATACACTGTTGGGGTTAAAAAAATCCTTCACTATTTCTGATCTCCACCTTCTAGAAATATGTTAGATAATATTTTCAATCCTCCTGGAATTGAATGAGACATAGTAACCAGATCTAACTAATGAGTTCTAAGTGGACATTACATGTATATTTCTAGGACAGGACATTTAATCACCAGAGGTTTTTTCGTGTTTAAAATGAGAGCAGCAATGTTCTTTTAGCATAATTAGCAAGTGAAGACATCACAGAAGGGAGCAGCCAGGTAACACAGGAAAATATCCTTCTGGATGACTATTAAAGCTCTGCTGTTCTAAGTCATAAAACGTTTGTTATCTGAGCATCATGCCGCCCACAAATTATCCAACTAAGTATGCATTAGATTTACCTGAAGGATTCATTAAGACACAGATTTGGAAGCACCAACTTTTGAATTTCTGATCTAGTAGGTCTGGGATGGGACCCAGGAAACAGAATTTCTAAGAGGTCCCCAGATGGTGTTGATGCTGCTGGTCCAATGACAACACTTTCAGAACTTTAATCCTGATGCATGAACATATTAAAACATTCTTTGGCAGCCTATATAACTATGAGAGTGAAGCAGTTAAGAACATACATGTTAGAGGCCACTTTCTGCCTAATGGGAATTCTATTTATGTCTGAAAACAATTGGAAAATTTTCTTCCCATTTAGTGGAAATTGGATAGAATCCCATATGCAGTCTACAGTGAGGACATTCTATTGAGTCAGGCAAGGCAGATGTAGGAAAAGATAATAATTTAGGTCATGCAACTAAAAAGGAAAGCATTAGTAGCTGTATCAGTCAACAAAGAACAGGATCTAATAAATTTAGCAAGAATAGATTTAGTACACAGTATTAAATGAATTACAAAAATGTCAGACAAGGTAAAGAAGGATTGTGTATGCCCAATTTACAACTAACTGTACCTTCAGTGTCTTCAGTATCTACAAATGCTTTGTATTTGATATATATTTTTGATTATATAATAAAAAACAATTTGTGATTGTTATTATTCAAGCTGCTGCTGCTGCCATTTTTTTTTTTTCTGTACTGGAGATTGACCCCAGGGGTGCTTTACCACTGAGCTATATCTCCAGTTCTTTTTATTTTTTATTTTGAGACAAGGTCTTGCTAAGTTACTGAGAGTTTTGTTGCTTTGCTGAGACTGACTTCAGACTTGCAATCCTTCTGCCTCAGCCTCGGGAGTCACTGCGATTACAGGTGTGTGTCACCATGCCGTTGATTCTAGCTTCTTATCACTCTGCTTCTTGTGGCTGAAGAGCAGCAGAAGGTGAGTGGGCAAATGTGTGGAGCCTATTATTTATTCTAACCAAATAGCATGTTTGACATTAAATTGTTTTCACAAACAGTTCATCATTGTGTTTACTCTACACCTGTGTGGGTGGTGAGTAGGATATGTACTCTATTTGACATTAGAGTAACATTTCTCAAGGGGTGAGTTTAGAGATTCTGTGGATAATTTTATAAAAGAATTTTACTGAAAACATTCTTTAGAGAATCACTAAATATACCTTATATGTTTTTTTTAAATGGGAATGCTTTCACTAAACTATATATTTAAAATAAATTTATCTATCATGCATCAGGTATACCTCAAAGGTTAATTTTGAAAGTTAAAAAAAAAATTCCTTTTTACTTTTCCAGGGATTTTCAAAACTATTTACCTATAGCTGAAGACCTTAAAACTTAAGTGAAAGTAAAAAACTAACAAAATATTACAAAAAGAAATCATTTTTTATTTAACAAAATCATCTTTAAATGAAATTTTGTTCAGTAATGGAACCTGAATCCATGGTTTAATTTATTTCTCTGCATTTGTTTTTTATATATCTCATTTATAGAAAAATTTAACTTATTAAAAAACGAAGTCAAAATGAAGCCTGTGTTCAAGAGCACAGTATAACTGTATTAGTAGCATAACATTAAATTAATTTTGTTAAAAATGTCTAGCAGTCAGGGCTTTAAAGCATGAATGATTGAGAAAAAGTTAGAAGAAACCCCAATCATGTTATCAGGTTCATTTTTAAGCAGCAATAGAACAATAAACATGAGAAGCATACATTTTTCATCCTTTTTATTTATGTGAATAAACCAGTTCATGAAAATGTCACTTACTATCCAGCACTATTCTTATATTATTATGTGATGCAGTACTCAGTACACATAATGCTAGTTCACTTCCACTCTCTGTTAACATCAGTAGAACATAAATTGGTAATTGTGTGGTAACTATGCAATTAACTCATGTCACCACTGTACCTTTTCATTAGCATCAACCAAGAGTAGTATTACCCTCTCAGTGACCTCTACATAAATGATAATATCCTTAGCTGTTAAAGAGAGAGAAAAAAAAAGTGAATCTAGTGTTGTGAAGGGTGATGGAGTGACAGCCTGAAGCCTTTTTTTTTTTTAATCTACCACATGGTACAAATAGTGAAAATGCAAACCTCTCTAAGCAGCCTCATTAGAACATCTCACCTCTTTTCTTTAAGAATAGAAGATTTCTTACTTATTCCTTTGCTTGATAAGATGTCTGAAAAGTTACACATCAGTTTGCAATTTTTTTCCATAAAGGTTAATCTCTGTGAGAGACCTTCCAAAATCATGGGTTCACACATTTCCTGCTCCCAGATAGTGCTCATGCTCACCAATACACTTGGTATATCTTAAGCACAACTTAAGCTTTGGAAATCCTTACTATTAATTATCAGTAAGTGTCTGCTTTGAGTATTACCAAAAAACTATTGAATGTTAAATTACTCTTAGATAAAATTCATTCTTATATTCATTTTTTGTCAGATTTTTGTTCTTTAGGTTCATGTTCTTATTGAAAATAAAATTGAACAGATTATATATTCCCAACCATTGGGGCAGTGGATAAGGAAACTCTTAAGCTGAAGGGTGAAAAGCATCTTAGTGATTAGAATCATGAGCTTGGAAATCAGACTCACCTGAGTTTTGGTACAGGTGTTAGCATTCCCTGAATGTTTAAAAAGATACAAGAACTTGAGAGGAGAAGAAAATGCTTCCTTGAAGAAATACATTTTTACCTGTGATATGAATGAGAATCAGTTATCACAGAGATAAATATTCTAGACAGAGAGATTAAAAAATTGGCACATGGCAATGGCCCTATATTGAGAGAAAACTTGGCATCTCCAAAGGAACAAAAGAAAACCATTGAGATGGAAGTGATCTTGAGGGTGAGGGGTCTTTGTGGGAAGAAACGCTGCAGAGATAGAGAGTTATCATGCTCTGAATCATGCAGAGCTGTGGTGAAGCTACAGGTCTGTATGTTTTGAGCAGCTGGAAACCAACTGTGGGTTCTAAATATGTAGCAACTAGTGTGTGTGTGTGTGTGTGTGTGTGTGTGTGTGTGTGTGTGTGTTTAATCTTAAATGCAGTGGGAAGTAATTTAAGGGTTTTAAACAGGAGGAGGAGAAGTATTAAAATCAAATTGGGGGATTTGTAAGATGATTCTAGCTTCACTGTCAAAAATGGATTAAAAGCCCAGGTGTAGTGGCACATGCCTGGAACCCCAGTGGCTCAGGAGGTTGAGGCAGGAGGATCGTGAGTTCAGTATTCAAATTTGTAAAGTTTTATTTATTAGTAAAATCTGATTAACATTATTATCATTAAATAATTCTGAGAATCTTCTCAAACTGCTAAATTTTGAGTACCATTCACCTACTCCTGGAGTTTTATTTTCAATTTCTTCTGAAAGGTTCCTTTGGTTACTTTGATTTCCCAGAAAACAAGATTATTATGAAGAGTATTTCAAAATAACACTGAGTTGGCCCATTTCATTCATTTATAAGTGTAAAATATTGAAATTAGTGTCACTACAGAGAATATTGCAGATGTCTATCTAGAGTTTATGAACCAAAGAGCACAGACAAGAAGCATTTGCCTGAGTCCATGGTCCTAATGTCATAGGAAGGCCAGGAATATCACAGAAGGAAGTGGGTCCCTTGTTTCCTATGTCCTGAACAGGCAAGATTAGTGATGACCTGAACTTTCTCTCTCACATGACTGCACACATTCAAGGTTTATTGAAAGCAAACGTATATGCAGTGTAGACACTGAATGGTCCATCTGTAGATAGAGAATAGCCCCAGTGTTCCCTGGAAGTCCTGTCCACATACATATTTAATTCCTGGTTTGTCATACCTAACAAAGAACAACCATGGTGGTATGTTGCTAGGTCCCTTTTTAAGTGCTCAGGTTGCATGGGCATATTTACTAATTGGTTTATGTTTCAACGCCTGAATTCCATCTGGTAAGGGGGGAAGTCCTTGTCCTGCCCTTGTGGTTTGTAGTCCTACCTTGTAATCAGGGCTAAGATATTTTGTTCTCTAGAAAGAGCTGACTGAACCCACTGTCTGTCTGAGAAAGCTGATTTTATCTCCCTCTGTGACTATGTCCCTGTGACCTCCCATTATTCCTGCTTATCCCTATTTATCCTATCCATCACTGACTATGCCTTACTTGACTAGAGAGCATCTTTAACTGTCTGGTATTGAAAGGTAAATTCCTTATGGTTAGAGGACTGTGACTTCTATAGGTAAGGAATAAGCAGAAGAAAATTTATTTAAAAAAAAA